GGGTCTCCTCCCGCCTGCGCATCTTCCAAAATCTTCTCGCTAATCACCCGCATCTTCTGGTCCTTGTTTTTGTTCTGCCCTTGGGCACACAGGTGTGTGAGCTCAGGTGTTCAGACCTGAGCAGCTGTGGCAGGGGGAGCCTTCTTAAACGGGTCTTCAAAATAAACCTCTCTAAGGAAGTTCGTGCTGTTCATTAAGTACTCAGCTCCGTGATGAGACAGCTCAGGAGGGCTGCGTGGTTTGGAGTGGCTTTGCTTCATACCTGCATGTGTTAAACTCCAGAGCTCTGAGCTGTGTATCTTCCCTCCATCACAGGTGGAAAGCTGCGTGTGTGCAGATATAAATACTCGCAAAATACTGCTGCTTGCACAATATTTTCCCAAGCAAGCCTTCTTATAGCCTGTTTAAAATAAATTCCGGTTTTGGATGGTACCTGGTGCCAAATGAAATGGCATTTTTCTTCCTCCTTACTTTTTGGGTAGCTCTTCAGCCTCCTGGGTGAGACATCAGAGAGAGCTCACCTGGACCTCTGTACTGCAGACTCCATGGGGGAGAAATCTGCAAAGGACCTCTGTAGGTACCAAAATATCTCTGTAGGAAATGAAACCAGCCAGCCAGGAATGGGTGCTGCTAAGAAACCAGATTCCTTTGCTTTGATCCTCAAAAAATTACATTTTGGTTTCCTTGGTGAAGGGAGGACCAAGTAGGATGGGAACTACTGGTGCCTACCATCAGTTTTGTATATCTGGAGAAAAACCTGTTCTGTGCCAATAAACCTCGATGACAGAATGTGAAGAGCCCTTGTGGTGTCTTCTAAACAGCAACACGTTTCCTTCTTGCTGTCCCTAAATTGAGGGTTGTGGGGGAATGGTGTAATCCAGGCCAGATCTGTGCATGCATTTGAACGAATCGCTTTTTGATTGAAGGGACTTTTTATTTCAATAAGTATCTTGTGTTGGCATAGGCAGAGCTTCCAAAAACACATCCTTTTTGAGTGTGACACAATCCTTGAGGTATTTATAATAAATTGGGTTGGTTTGCTTTTCCTTGTGCATTTGGTACTAAAACATAATACGCTGAAAGCTGCTTCTCGAAGCAGACAGCAGGGAACCCAAGTGTTGTTACCTCATTGGTAAGAAGCAGACACTGCTACTGAAAGGTTTATGGATGTGCTGGTAGCTGAGCACTAAGCTGAAAAGCAGTATTTTCTTTTTTAGAAGCTTCACATCTATAATGCCTTTTGATGGGATTCTTAGATATGCCCATGTAAAGCAATCCGACTAACTTCAAGCAGACTTTTTTTCTAGTTGAAGTAGCAAACGTCGAAGTATTTTTTTTTAAACTTGTTTCTTTCCATCCAGGGGGAGAGATTTTTTTTCCAGGGAGTTGTTTTTGAGATCTGAAAGTATGATATATTTTCATTTGCAAGTGGATATTGCATCTTTAATTGTATTCTTTTTGGACAGAACTGCAGATTTCCACAGTGACCAATGCAAACCTCGAGAAAATAATTTTGGATCTGTCACAAGTAATCAGAATTCTAGTCTGATGACTTCTAGTCCACTTTTGGCCATCTTGTAACGTCACGGTAATTTAATTGTGAAAGGAAATTTGGGGGGCTTTAAAAATATGATGTTTGACCTAGGAATGCCTGTCAGGCAAATCTGAGTGCGTACTGAAGCTGCCTCAGCTGATCTTGTACAGAGAGAGGCAAATTCCAAGTGTTCTGGATCTACTTCACTGGTAACAACATAACTAATTTGAGGTGCTTTTTGTATCTTATTTTTTTAAAGTAAGACTATTACGGTTTTGGTTTGTCAGATAATCGCTGAAAGGCAAACACTGAGATTATAATGCAGTTTCACTGGATCCTGGTTGCTGCAGAGTGTTTTCACTGTAAGATAAGCTTAGGAAGCACTGCCCAAGCTAACATAGTAAATCTTTCTCAGAAAACATGTCTTTGCCCAGGGTGGAAATATTGAATGGTCATTGGATAACCACTGCAGGAGAGGGGTCAGAATAATTCATTTTTAGTCTGGCACAATGCATGGACTTTCTTCCCACCTCCTCTGCCCAAAATCCTGCTCCTCTCCCAGGTTCACTGTCCTTTTGGATCACCTCTGCCCTGCTGTGGGAGATGTTTCTGTCCATTCTGGACCACAAATCTCCAGTGGGACCCCAGTACCAACCCTCTCTGCCCACCCACCCAGTCCCAGTTTTACTCGAGAGGAGGAGTAAGCTCAAGGAAAGGCAGGGACTGTCTGAAATCTTTTAGGGAACCCAGGTACCAGACTCTGGTGGCAGATGAGGTCTCCGTGCAGTGATTCCACAACTGAGCCAGGTGGACATTGGATGTAGGCAATCGTCCTTTCTGAGCAGAGGGGTTTGCCACAGGGACCCCTCATTGTGCACCTCCTGGCGCTCGATACAGCCCTGGTACTGACAGGATTTTGACTTCAAGAGGAGCAGCTACGAGCTCTAGAAAAGTCCATACCTCTTGGCCTCAAGAGCACAGAGTTCCCCATGTGCTGTGGTTTCCTCTGTCCCTTTTTTCAGGAGCATTTCCCATCTGTAAACGTACATGATGACCTTTTAGATACTGAAGTAGATCAAGAAAGATGGCTGGGATTTGCTTCCTTCTTTCTTTCTGTTGCTGGTACAGTTGTAGATCTGAGCCTCTGTCTGCTGGAGTCTCTAACAATCCTAGGATACTGAAGTTGGAGAGACCCCTGAGAAAGAAGGTGCTCTCCAGCCAGCCAAAGGCCCTTGGTTGATTTTGGCTGTGAAGGAAAAGGCAGGTTCTACCACGTGCTGCATGAGAATTCAGATGCTTTCTGGTACCTGTATGGGCTCATATGGGGCTCAGCTTCAGCAGGATGGTGGGCAATGCCCCAGCCCTGCATCTTCCTCATCCTGGGCCAAGGGAGCTGTGGGGGCTCATTTGCTGTGCTCCTCACGATGGCTCTCCTGGTGCATCTGTGCTTTTGCATGCGTGCGTGTGATACCTCCCAAGGACACCACTGCCGGCTCCTTTTTTGACAAGAAAAGCTGCTTCAGTGAAAAAACGCAAGTAACTTTTTGGAGAGTTGGGAGGAGAAGTGGGAAGAAGGCAGAGCTAACAAAGGCCTGCTCCTCATTCGCCTCCTGGTGCTTTTCTTCCCCTTGCCCGTTGTGCCTTGAGTCGATGCTCTGCAGGGAAAGCAGTGAGGGCAGCTCCTGCTTTTTCCCCAAACCCATTTACTGGTTTCTCTTCCCACCAGGATGTGCCGATCAGTGGGGGCGAGTTCCCTCCAGTAACGCCCTGGGCCTGTGGCAGGTGTGCCCGAAGGAAGGCACGGCCTTTGGAAGGCCACCAAGCTCCCCTGCCCTCTGTGCCTGCCAGCATCTGTCCCAGACTGTCCTGTTCTTTGTCCTCGCTGTCCTTATGTTGGCACACTGTAAACCCGTGACCGTTAACCGTGGCTTGAATGTTTTTAAGAAAACAAAACAGCTCCTTGCTTCTTATTCTTTACTGACTGCAGCTGGCAGAGGTCTTAGAGGAGGTGTGTAACTTGGGTATCCCCACTTTTTAAACTGTTTGTAATTATCCAGGCAGTTTTTTTTCCTCAGCTTGTTTGTCATGGTGAAACTCTGAGTGGTTTTATCCCTTAGTAACCCCCACAGTGACACATCTGAGTTCATTTCAGTAGGAGAAGTAAATGACAAAGGGGTTTGCTGCTGCTACTACTGCTGCTTTTCTTAAGGAAAGTAGATTTTTGTTCTGAATATCTGTCAGTTCTCCTCTCAGCCTTGCTTAGCAAGTCAGTGAAGATAAAATAAAATAAAATTGAAGTAGCTTAGATTCTTCTGAAAAAGATGCTCTCTGGGGAGAGGTGAAGTCTGAAGAGCTTTGTATGGGGAAAATTAGCAGCATATGAGAACCAGCGATTGTCATTAGAGGGAGAGCCGTCATTGTCAAACGACTGCTGGGGTGACGTTGCCCGAAGGCAGCCCGGGCCATCCGCAGCACTGGGACCATCTGTGACCGTGCCCTGGTGACGGTGGCGCACAGCCGTTCCCCTCGGGCCACCTCAGCTCCCCACAAATGCCAGCCCCCGGTGCCTCGGCAGCTGTGGCCTGGCCCCCTTCATCCCTCACGTCACCACTGAGGGTCCCTGCGGGACAGATGGGTGTCATCTGGGGGGCTGTGTGTCACCGCGCTTTT